TCCATCGTCTACAGCCAAGCTCTGCGATACAACCGCATTTGCTCCAACCCCTCAGACAGAGACAAACACCTACAAGATCTCTGTCAAGCTTTCTTACAACTACAATACCCACCTGCGGAAGTGAAGAAACAGATTGATCGAGCCAGAAGAGTTCCCAGAAGTCACCTACTACAGGACAGGCCTAACAAAGAAAATAACAGAACGCCACTAGCGGTCACCTTCAGCCCCCAACTAAAACTCCTCCAACGCATTATTAAAGATCTACAACCTATCCTGAAGGATGACCCAACACTCTCACAAATCTTGGGAGACAGGCCAGTCCTTGCCTACAGACAGCCCCGCAACCTGAAGCAAATACTCACCAACAACCACATACCACACAACAGAACCACTAACCCAGGAACTTATCCTTGCAACAAAGCCCGTTGCCAACTGTGCCCACATATCTATTCAGGGGACACCATCACAGGGCCTAATAACATCAGCCACACTATCAGAGGCTCGTTCACCTGCACATCCACCAATGTGATATATGCCATCATGTGCCAGCAATGCCCCTCTGCCATTTACATTGGTCAAACTGGACAGTCTCTACGTAAAAGAATAAATGGACACAAATCAGATGTCAAGAATTATAACATTCATAAACCAGTCAGAGAACACTTCAATCTCTCTGGTCACGCAATCACAGACATGAAGGTCGCTATCTTAAAACAAAAAAAATTCAAATCCAGACTCCAGCAAGAAACTGCTGAATTGGAATTCATTTGCAAATTGGATACTATTAATTTAGGCTTAAATAGAGACTGGGAGTGGCTAAGTCATTATGCAAGGTAGCCTATTTCCCCTTGTTTTTTCCTACCCGCCCCCCCAAGACGTTCTGGTTAAACTTGGATTTAAACTTGGAGAGTGGTCAGTTTGGACGAGCTATTGCCAGCAGGAGAGTGAGTGTGTGTGTGTGTGTGTTCCCCGGGGGGGGGGGGTGAGAAAGCCTGGATTTGTGCTGGAAATGGCCCACCTGGATTACCATGCACATTGTAGGGAGATTTCAGAGTAACAGCCGTGTTAGTCTGTATTCGCAAAAAGAAAAGGAGTACTTGTGGCACCTTAGAGACTAACCAATTTATTTGCGCATGAGCTTTCGTGAGCTACAGCTCACTTCATCGGATGCATACCGTGGAAACTGCAGCAGACATTATATACACACAGAGGTCATGAAACAATACCTCCTCCCACCCCACTGTCCTGCTGGTAATAGCTTATCTAAAGTGATCATCAAGTTGGGCAATTTCCAGCACAAATCCAGGTTTTCTCACCCTCCACCCCCCCACACACAAACTCACTCTCCTGCTGGTAATAGCCCATCCAAAGTGACAACTCTCTTCACAATGTGCATGATAATCAAGGTGGGCCATTTCCTGCACAAATCCAGGTTCTCTCACCCCCTCACCCCCCTCCAAAAACCACACACACAAACTCACTATCCTGCTGGTAATAGCTCATCCAAAGTGACCACTCTCCCTACAATGTGCATGATAATCAAGGTGGGCCATTTCCAGCACAAATCCAGGTTTTCTCACCCCCCCACCCTCATACACACACAAACTCACTCTCCTGCTGGTAATAGCTCATCCAAAGTGACCACTCTCCCTACAATGTGCATGGTAATCAAGTTTCAGAGGAACAGCCGTGTTAGTCTGTATTCGCAAAAAGAAAAGGAGTACTTGTGGCACCTTAGAGACTAACCAATTTATTTGAGCATGCAATGTATACCTTCAGATCAGCGGCACTGCTATGGGTACCCGCATGGCCCCACAGTATGCCAACATTTTTATGGCTGATTTAGAACAACGCTTCCTCAGCTCTCGTCCCCTAAAGCCCCTACTCTACTTGCGCTATATTGATGACATCTTCATCATCTGGACCCATGGAAAAGAAGCCCTTGAGGAATTCCACCATGATTTCAACAATTTCCATCCCACCACCAACCTCAGCCTGGTCCAGTCCACACAAGAGATCCACTTCCTGGACACTACAGTGCTAATAAACAATGGCCACATAAACACCACCCTATACCGGAAACCTACTGACCGCTATTCCTACCTGCATGCCTCCAGCTTTCACCCTGACCACACCACACAATCCATCGTCTACAGCCAAGCTCTGCGATACAACCGTATTTGCTCCAACCCCTCAGACAGAGACAAACACCTACAAGATCTCTGTCAAGCTTTCTTACAACTACAATACCCACCTGCAGAAGTAAAGAAACAGATTGATAGAGCCAGAAGAGTTCCCAGAAGTTACCTACTACAGGACAGGCCTAACAAAGAAAATAACAGAACGCCACTAGCGGTCACCTTCAGCCCCCAACTAAAACCCCTCCAACGCATTATTAAGGATCTACAACCTATCCTAAAGGATGACCCAACACTCTCACAAGTCTTGGGAGACAGGCCAGTCCTTGCCTACAGACGGCCCCGCAACCTGAAGCAAATACTCACCAACAACCACATACCACACAACAGAACCACTAACCCAGGAACTTATCCTTGCAACAAAGCCCGTTGCCAACTGTGCCCACATATCTATTCAGGGGAAACCATCACAGGGCCTAATAACATCAGCCACACTATCAGAGGCTCGTTCACCTGCACATCCACCAATGTGATATATGCCATCATGTGCCAGCAATGCCCCTCTGCCATGTACATTGGTCAAACTGGACAGTCTCTACGTAAAAGAATAAATGGACACAAATCAGATGTCAAGAATTATAACATTCATAAACCAGTCGGAGAACACTTCAATCTCTCTGGTCACGCAATCACAGACATGAAGGTCGCTATCTTAAAACAAAAAAGCTTCAAATCCAGACTCCAGCGAGAAACTGCTGAATTGGAATTCATTTGCAAATTGGATACTATTAATTTAGGCTTAAATAGAGACTGGGAGTGGCTAAGTCATTATGCAAGGTAGCCTGTTTCCTCTTGTTTTTTCCTACCCCCCCCCCCAGATATTCTGGTTTAACTTGGATTTAAACTTGGAGAGTGGTCAGTTTAGATGAGCTATTACCAGCAGGAGAGTGAGTTTGTGTGTGTATGGGGGTGGGGGGGAAGTGAGAAAACCTGGATCTATGCAGGAAATAGCCCGACTTGATTATGTAAAGAGTTGTCACTTTGGATGGGCTAGCACCAGCAGGAGAGTGAATTTGTGTGGGGGGGTGGAGGGTGAGAAAACCTGGATTTGTGCTGGAAATGGCCCACCTGTTGATCACTTTAGATAAGCTATTACCAGCAGGACAGTGGGGTGGGAGGAGGTATTGTTTCATATTCTCTGTGTGTATATAAAGTCTGCTGCAGTTTCCACGGTACACATCTGATGAAGTGAGCTGTGGCTCACGAAAGCTCATGCTCAAATAAATTGGTTAGTCTCTAAGGTGCCACAAGTACTCCTTTTCTTTATGGTAATCAAGGTGGGCCATGTCCAGCACAAATCCAGGCTTTCTCAACCCCCCCCCCCTTTTTTTTCCCCAGGGACACACACACACACACAAACTCACTCTCCTGCTGGCAATAGCTCATCCAAACTGACCACTCTCCAAGTTTAAATCCAAGTTAAACTTGGTCACTTTTTGACAATGTGGCTTCGTTGAAGCTATTCTGTCAGCGGTATCCCCGAAGCCATCAATGCCTCTGGAGTGAGTGAAGGGAAGTGTGGAAGGGGCTATGGAAGAGTTAATATGTCCTGCGGCTGTATTCACTGTCCATTGTGGTTTTGGTAGGGCTTGGCCTGACACCTTTGGCCTTCCAAGGGGGGCCTATGGAATCTGAAGCAAGAAGGGATGGTGACATGGATGTGACTAATCCTTCTCTTACAGGATGTTCGTGAGGAGGGGAGAATCTGCAAGGAAAGGACACTCTGTGTTCTTATTACTACCTGAATAGTCTAGCCCTATGCTATTGACACCTTCTTAGATTATTAAAACTGTATAAATTTTTAAAATGCAGTTTGCTTTTCACGATGGCTGTTGTTTATTTACTGTTTGCATTTCTCTCAGGTAGAAAAAATAAATTAAGTCAATTTCATGTATGTTTATACTGTATTCATTTTCACTTTCAGGTTCTCAGTGCTGCATACACAAGTACTGTCAAATGAGTTATCCAATTAAATGCATTTTATATTTTATTTCCTGACAAACATGTTGATTTAGCATCTCAGCTTTCTCACAGGAGAGTTCAGCGCTTTTTTAACCCAAACTGTCTTTGTGAATTTGAGAACACAGGTCACTGCTTCACAGGTTAGGTTTCCCCTTTGGAAGCCAATTTGAGATTGTAAATGAGTTCCCGTTATGAGAAGGAAAAGTTAATGAGAATCCTGTAGATTATGTATGCTGTTTGGTAGGGGACTGGATGGCTCAGAAGACTGCAAGTGGCCTACTGAGCCTGTCATTTTGCAGGTTTTAACTTGGCTCAAGTCAGATCTCACCGACAACTCTTTAGAGGACTATATAGAATGAGCTGGAAGTCTCAGTCCATTTCCAAGACTTTGTCTTGACTCAGAAAAAAATGGTTGAGTTTATGTCAGGCTTAACTAACATGCTATCTAGGCCTGACCAAAATTAGTGTTGATACAGGATAAGACTTTGTAACCTTGATTTAGTTGGTTGATTTATAGTGTAGGCAAAAGCCCTACTAGATATGGGTCCACACACATCGCCATCCCAACAGGTACTGACACGTCCCCAACAAAGAACCCAAAATTGCATGGACATGAAGATCAGACTACTCTTTTAACTCTACATATGCCTGTCCAGGGCATGACTGAAGCATAATTATGAAGTACTGTGGGGAGCGTGTACCATATGTGGTGAACAGTGTATGTGTTCTGTGGATATACAGGCGATTGTATCTAGACTTACCAATCTAACACCATTCTTAGCAACATACTTCAATATATTACATTTTCTCCTAACGATACTTGTTTCTTTTTCTTCTCAGACAAACCATGTGGAGACCCCCCATCCTTTCCTCACACGATCCTGCATGGTCACACTGGGTTTGAAATGGGGGATGAGCTGCTTTATGTTTGTGCTCAGGGCTACATCATGGGCAACAAAGAGGCTGCTTTTACGCTGCTCTGTGACAGCTGTGGGGAATGGTATGGGCAAGTTCAGGCCTGTGTCAAAGGTAAGCTTATCTAGCATACACACCAAGACTCCTCTCAACCAAAGCTGTCAGCAAGTCCTGGTCTGGCTGATAGTATCCCAAATGGTACCAGACATTTTCAGTCCCCAGGACTTGACTTCAACTGTGTACAGTTGAAGGTGTCTATAGCACTGCTGTGTAACAGTGCTTCTCCAGCTGCTTATGCACCAGGTGATCCTCCACAACTTGCTCTCCCAGTGGCCCTCAGAGCCTTTAACCATACAGTAAAACCTCAGAGTTACAAACACCAGAGTTACGAACTGACTAGTCAATCACACATCTCATTTGAAACCAGAAGTACACAAATCAGGCAGCAGCAGAGACCAAAAAAAGCAAATACAGTACAGTACTGTGTTCAATGTAAACTACTAAAAAATAAAGGGAAAGTTTAAAAAGAAGATTTGACAAGGCAAGGAAACTGTTTCTATGCTTGTTTCAGTTAAATAAAGATGGCTAAAAGCAGCATTTTTCTTCTGCATAGTAAAGTTTCAAAGCTGCATTAAGTCAATGTAAACTTTTGAAAGAACAACTATTACGTGTTGTTCAGAGTTACGAACATTTCAGAGTTATGAACAACCTCCATTCCCGAGGTGTTTGTAACTCTGAGGTTCTACTGTACCAAGCCAGTCACCTCTTCGATATTTTCAGGGGGAGCTCAGGGCAACTGCTTTCACTGAAGCTGTGCAGCATAATGTAGGTGCTGGGCTGGAGTGGGGAATATACACTCTATACTTATACCAGAAGGCTGGGCTCGGAGCTACATTAGGCAGCAATAGGATACTCCTCCAGAGAGGAAACAAGGGTGTGGGGAGCACAAAGTAAGGGCTCGTGAGAAAACAAATTGAGCACAGCAGGGGTGCTGTGTGGAGGGGAGCACAGAGGAGTGCTATGAGAGAAAGTATGGGAAGCATTTGAAATAATCAAGGGACAGTTTGTCAAATAAGCTGGTGGTCTGGAAGGTCACCTGAGCATTCCACAACACATTGGTTGTTTTCTCTGCCTCTATCACCCTTATACAAGGAATAATTAGGAAAAATGATATAAAATTCCCCAGGATGCACACAAAGGTCTACAGCAACTCCCAGACCCTACCTACCTACCTCAAGACCTCCACCGTATCACTTTATCATCAGACCATAATAAAATGCATCATATAAGCAAGATAAATGGAAAAATGGACTAGTGGATGCACTCAAACTTAACAACATAAAGTATAAGCAGCTACATAACTTAATTTTCCCAGGCAACACTTTAAACACAGAGTTCCATATCACTTTATAATATGTCAAAAGTTCCAGGGTGACCATGTCTTCTAGTGTTTGTTCAACAACCAGGCACTGTGGGGCCCCCAGTCATTATTAGGGCCTGTGGGAACTACTGTTACACAATTAATAGATAATAACAGTAACAAGGCAGAGTGCTAAATATACTAGTACCAGTATGCTCTGAAGTCATCAGCAGAAGCTTCCTTTATGGGAAGCAAAGACTAATTAAAATTAAATATTTTAATCTTTAGTGCTATGTTTATCCCCGGTGCATAGCCTTTAAAACCAATGGAGCTACACCAATGGTGAATTTGGCCCTACAACTTGCCATCTATGTATTTTTTGCAAAAGAGTCTGGATCAAACTCTTCATGCTGTTGCACAGCGAGGTGGAATGGGTGTAACTAAGTGCAGGATTTGGCCCTACATATTGTTGGGATTCCCTCCAAGACATCTTTCTATTCCGCTTCCAAAGAACTCAGTTTGACTCCACCCTTTGTCACTCAGGTATCTTTATTTGGCATACAGCAATGCTACGTTGAGTTGATCAGACTCAAACACAGGGGGGAGGGAGGGTGGCGGTGGATGGATGCAGGGTACATCACAGCTCCAAAGTTACAGAGAAACCTTCTCCCTTTTTATACATTACACATCTCGTTGTATTTACAATACATTGCATCACACATTTTTGGCTTGGCTTGGTTACTTTGCAGGAACCAATCCCTGTGCAGCACATACTGACCATTATTCAACTTCCTCTTTACCTCATCTCTACATTCCTTGTCCCTTGTTATCTAGTTCATAGTAAATAGTTCCCTGCATGTTCTCCCTCTTATCTTAGGCTATGTTTACACTACAGACCTTACAGTGCACAGTTGTACCTCTGCAGCTGGGCTGCTGTAAGGTCTCCAGGGTAGCCGCTCTATGCCAGCAGGAGAGAACTCTCCCGCCAGCATAATTAAACCACCCCCAACGAGTGGCGGTAACTATGCTGGCAGGAGAGCACATCCACTGACATAGTGCTGTCCACACGGGCACTTTTCTTGGTGAAACTTATGTCAGTCAGGGGTGTGTTTTTTCACACCCCTGACCGCCAAAGGTTTTACTGACAAAAGTGCTAGTGTAGACAAAGCCTTAGTTGGTTCAGACATTCTGTCTTCTTAGCTTACTGACCTATTTACTTACCTTGTTTAGCACAAAGAGTTTGTTTTCAACCTGATGATTTATTTCCTTCCCTAATTCTCTCTTCCAAAAAATGAGACCTTGCTCCGTGTGTTAATTACTCATGTCAGGCCAGGCCTCACCTATGACGATATGTGCATTCCTTTAATAAACCCAGTATCTTTTGAAAAAATAAAAGGAGGACTTGTGGCACCTGAGAGAATTTTTTTCATGAAGTTGAAAAGTCCTCCTTTTCTTTTTGAGGATACAGACTAACACGGCTGCTACTCTGAAAAGTATCTTTTGAAAAACCCAAAGGGAGGGATGCAGTTATTTGAGAATTAATTATACTGTTTTATCACTTATGGTTTCCTCATTTTATGGAATCTTAAGCCTTTTACACTGGAATGCAATGTATCAGTAGTCTCTGGCAATGAAAAGGATACCACTAACTGCTGTTAAGGGCATCTTTTAGGGTTAGTTGCTTCTGATATCCATCCTGTCACTTTCTCTGGATATAACTTTGACCCCAAAAACTTGGGCACCAGTTACTGGCTATTTGTTCATGCAGGCACAGCAGCTGACTCTGCTGACTCATAGTGTTCTACCCAAACAACTCTCTGATTAGCACTTTGACAAAAGGTTTACTGTCTCCTATTTTCTTTGTTTCCTCTGGTTTGTGGGGGCTGACCAGCCAGATTTGTCCCAGGAGTCTCTCCCAGTCTCTTTGGGGTCATAGGAAACATGATCATTCTTTCTAGTGAGCCAGATCAGGAAAGAGGCCATTGATTTAGGGAGAGAAGGAAGGGAGTGGCACTGAGAGATGTAAACAACTTGAATGGGGTTGCATGCATGGAAGGGAAGGCTGGATTTGGTTATTAGCATATATAAAAGTGTGAACACCATTCCCAGCATACTAGATTTTCAAGCCATGGGGCAAAGTGGAACTTGCAATTCAAGTTGCACACCATCCATTTTTAAAGTGCACCGATGATGGTCATCTCTGTGGATTTATGAGACTTCATCACGTCATGTAGGATGATGTTGCATCATGGTGCCACATTGCTGTTGTGCTTTTGCTGAGAGGGTATTCAATATATTTTACTAGAGTTCATCCTCAGTTTAATAACCCTGCCTTACACTCACTATCTTTCTCCTCACTCTCACAAACCCCCTTTCTCTTCAGTATTGGGCAAAATTCCCATTTACTAGAAATAAGCTCTTGGTATGTGCCTCCAGCTATGATGTTAGAACCAGCCCCTTAGTAGTGATCTGCTGTTTATTATTTTGTATTTGCTACTTCTGATGTGGGATCTGACTCATAGGTCTTTAACATACTTGTTTTATTTACTTAAGGAAGGGAATTAACTGCTGATGTTATAACAAAATCAGAGGTTCATTTTTCAAAGCAGTTCAAGGTAGTTAAGCCCAGAGACTGTTAGTGAGCCAAATACATTGTTTACCAGATACAGTGCACAAGATGTGAATGCAGTGTTTTGTATGTCTTGTGCTATGTTTATTTTCCACACTGAGCACCAGAGTTGCTACAGCCTGGGGTACTGGAATGAAAAACTGGATTTTGCATGTGCCGTTGGATACTTAAAGGAAGTGTACAGTACATATCTGAAAACCCTATATCCTTTCATAGTAAAGTTGCAAGAGTTGCATATATAAAACATGGTTCTCTCAACTATAGATATCGCTGTGTTTTCCATACCATTATTATGTTGTCACTGTTCTAATATGACTCCATCTTGAAGCCTGTCAGAAATTTGTGCAGAATTTGTGTGAAATTTGTGCAGAATGCACCTGTCTGCTAATTTTTTTGGCCCAATCCTGCAAAGTCTTCAGTTTCTTCTATAAAGAGCTTAGTGCCTTAGCTCCCATTAATTTTAGAGAGACTTGGGGCCTGATCCTGTGAAGTGTTTATTACCTTTTTATTACTCTCTAGAAAGACCTGGGCAAACTGGAGGGAATTCAGAGATGCTCAGAATTAAATCCTACAGTCTAGGTTTGGAATCACCAAAGTTGAGCAGATTCTCTCTTTGAATACATCCCAAAACCACATCCATCACATTTGTGGTGTTATATTACTTTGCAATTTTATTTTAAATTTGTTGTCCAGTATCACCTCTAGGTTTCTTTCAGGATTACTGATTTCCAAGTATCAACCTTCTAATAAATCTGTGTTCCATATTGTTTTTTTCAAGATTAGCTTGCTTGCATTTGTCCAAGTAAAATCTCATTTTGTTATTTCTTTCCTGTACTTTTACCTCATCTGTGACACTTCACATAATTTCTCTGTCCTCATCTTCCAAATGAGTCTTCACTGCAAAGCTAATTAATACACTTTACTCCTTCCTCCAGTGCATTAATGAAGATGCTAAATGAGACCAGACCTAAAATTGATGCATATCACCCCTCTTTAGACATCTCTCTTGCAAAAACAAAGAGCTCACAGTTAGACCTGGTCTACACTAGGATATTTTATCTAAAGTTTCTCAGGCTTTGTTTACACTGGCAACTGAACAACAAAACTTTTGTCTTTCAGAGGTGT